AATTTATAGCGCTCTTTATTACGAAACTGATGGTGGTATTTATGAAGTTTTCTTCTCTTTAAAGTTCAGAAAACGGATGTATTTTTACTGATGATCTCAATGAGTTCCACATCGTTAATAATATCTATCTACAGAAGAAGCGAATTGGAACCGAGAAAGTACACCAAAGACTATCGAATAACTGTCACTTTATATATACTTCTCGGTTGTAAAATTCTAAAATGATGTCTTGTGAGTAGTTTTTGTAAGAACATTTTGGAATTTTATTCTTTTTATTCAAATTTATGGCATTCTTAAGTTAGTGTTAACGAATATTTGGAATAGTTTCGGAATAATATCAGTAGATCTTGTTCCGAAACCATTCCAATTATCTGAACCATAAATCGAAGTGAGGCGTATAATATTCTTTCACATTAAGAAATTTGTACGCTTCGTACAGATGAGTGTTTGATTTGAAGATACTCTTGAGATCACGTGCGTTCATAGAGGGTACCCCTCTTTGGGACGAATAAAAAATTCCCCAAATTATAATTGTAAAAGTGATCGAGATATGTAACCGCACACCCTCGATCGTGGAATGCTTTATTTGTCTTAAAAAAAACCTAAAATTGAAAAATTAAATAAAAGTTTATTGATATGATTATTCGTCTTCAAGTTTTGCTCTCCTGGAAAATTTTCTGCGTATGTTCATGCTTCAGATGTTCAACAACTAGACATTTCTATAAATACAAGTGCGATTCTAATGGCCGTTGTAGAAAGTGATTTAGCAAGTACACCATGGCAGATAAGAAGATAAAATTCGTTATTCTTTTTACAAGAATCACTTGATGTAGAACATTATTCTTCATTGAAGTTAAAAATAATTTGATGATGGTGATGATGACGACATGCAAAAATCTTCTAGCAACTGATGATTCTACGTAACGCTTGTTTCTACAGATTCAGATTGATTTGAAATTATAAATTTCCATCTTACAAGAATGGAAATAATTGAAATTTTATCAGGATTGTCTCAATTTGTTTTAATTCTTACTATCAAGCGCCCATCGTTGGCTCATTAAATACAGAAACGTCAAATCTACCAGAAGTGAAGAGAGAATAATACTAAAAGATCTCGCTGGTTTCACTTTGATAGGGCATAATTATAATTTTATAATATAAGTAGAAGAATTACATTTTTATATTTTTATTTTTAAATATTTATTAATTTATTATTAATTTTTTAAAAAATGTTTTTTTTTAATTCCCAAAAAACCCAAAACGCTTTAATTCTAATATATTTTCCTAATCTACTGAATTATCTTCGTTTCGGTGACTTATTTTTATTTTAAAATATAAATTTTTAAATGATTTTACTTATAAAATTCTTTAATATGTTTTCGTTTATTTTTAAAAAAAGTAGAAAAATAATAATTGAAAAATTTTTCGTTAAAAAATCATACTTCAAATTTTATTCCCTGAAAATTGAATTTATTGTAATAAAAACCTTTTTAATTTTTTTTATATAATATAATAAATAATTTTTTTATGTTACAATTTTATCTATTAAATTATGAACACTTCGTGAGCATTTATGAGCACTTTGCAGGCGCACATAAACAATTCATGGACAATTATGAGCACTCATGAGATTTCGTGAGAAATTACAAACATTTCACATGTTTTTTTTCTTATTTTAATTCACTTTAAATGAAATAATCATATTCTGATACATGGTCTATAGTTTAAACAGCAATTTCCGTTAATATATAAGAAAGATAAAACAGAAAGAAATTATCCTTTTTCAAATTAATGTTACCATTATCTGTGAAATTAGTGTCGCAGAAGGGAAATTAATTCCTCCATTTCAAAAAGCTTTCGGGATTTCATGATTAAAATGTAAAGATAACAGATAACTCTTCGACGTCCTCTTGATACATCTTTCTCTGAAGAGAATACACTGTAAATTATCCTATATTCTAAATTAAAAATTAAATAATTTCTTTAAAAAGTTGCTAATAATTAAAGTATTTTATTGTGTGTGACCAATCTATATATTTAATCAACTATATTTTTTTATGGCTGAGATTGATCTTTATACTTTTATCTTGTAAATTTCTATCATAAAAACAAAAAACAAATCGAGATGAATAATTATTATTCTTTAATTTTAAACAGAAACTTAAAAGAATTTTCACATAAAATTGAATTTTGTATTGTGGATTTAAAAATAACAATAATAATAAAATCCAGCAACGAGTTGCTTAATTTTTCCGGCAACATTTAAAACTGCGTGTGGCGCTATCTGTTATGATATTTTATTTTAAAAACTTTTTATATTTTTTAATTATTATAAAATAGTAAAAAGCTTAATTTTGAGGATAAAAATGTGTTTTATAAAAAAAATTCTAAATGCTAATATATTACGAGTAAAATCGTCATTAAGTCCGACCCTACTCGAGATATGACACACGGTCCTTTTTTACCTCTCCACTCCTTCGGCCTTTAACTACCAAAATTTAATAACATCAATCCCCCTTCTAGACAAACCTCCCTGCAAAATTTCAGAAAATTTCGATAAAAAGCACAGGAGTTATTAAGCTTCAAACAGGGTGAACAAAGGTGTCCTCCACACACTCAGACATCCATACATACAGAAAAACCCGCCAATTTTTTCATTTCTGGACGTTTCAAGGTCCCCTGAGTCCAAAAATGTAAAAATCTTGAGAGGAATCAATTTTGACCGATCACCATACTGTTATAAAGTATATAACAAAGCCGGGAAAATAAAAAGAACAGAAGACATCGTTTCAATGATGAACTTTCATGCAATTATAACATGTAAAATGGCAATTATTTAATACTTTCCACAATTCAGGAATTAGAATTAACGATTGTTGTACGATTTGAATAATTGAACATAATAAATCCGCATTTAATTGGATGACAGTAAATCGTCCTTAAGCGGCTCCTTTATTTCCTATAAACTCAATATTATAAATGAGATTACGTTCTTCAAAATTCAATTTAAAATACGCAGTACCAAACAAAGATGGATGGCCAATAAGAGATATGTCATTTTAAATCATCACAGTGGAAAATTTATACCAATCGTAAAAGCGTGGGTCGTAAAACGAGTCTATTGCTTTTAATATTTTCGATTTAAAATACTTTTGATAGACTAGACAGTATTTTTTTCTCTAAATTTACCAAAAGCAATAAAATTATACCCCCCAAAAAATTACAACAACCAATCACTTTAATATTATATTTTCTTTTTATTCTAGACTTATTTTTCTAAAGAAATTAAATATAATTATTTGTTTATAAATAATTTTATATGAAAATATAACAACAGCAATATTTTGATGTGTTTGGAAGGATCTAATTATCCAAATGAACGAAAGATGGCACACGTTTCATCGTAATCGAAGTTTTGCAGCCGTTAATTTAAAATAACCAATAAGATCTTTGATATTGTTTACGTAATACAAAATCGTTCATATTATTGGATGTGGAATATCCGATATTGTGACGTATGAAGCGAAATATATACATATACTGTATTTATAAATTGGTGGATTTTTATCAAAAAATAGACGATAAAAAATTAAAATTTGTTTTTCGATTGAATAATTCCTTACGTTAAATGTTTAAAATTTATAACTAGATTTATGATAATTATAAAATATATTAAATGTATAAATAAATTTAAAGTAATGTAAAATAATTATCTATAATGACATAGATTTATTCATTAATACATCGTTAAAATATTTGAATTTGTATGAAAAATATGCAATTTTCCCAGATTAAAAAAAATATATGTATTTATAATTTTTGACATTTAATTAGCGTTATAAAAATTTTGAATATTTTATTCATTTAATTCAACTATTTCATTATTAAAGCCACGAATGAGCAACATTCTAAACGAAAATCGAACCCGGAGTCACGGCGGGATACAAGAACTACAATTAAATTTCAAAAATTAATTTAAAAAGCAGAAATTCGGAGCATTCAACGTGATTTTCCATTCGTTTTCTTTATAAATTTCTTTAAAAATATTGAAATACAGTTCTAGCATTTATTTTCTTGATAGTAAAATTTATGTTTACAGCGAATCATCGGTAAGATTTATTATAATGGAGTTTAATCTATATACTACTTTTTTAAATAAATTAAATCCAAGTATCGCGTGCATTTCTTTGAAATATTCCAAAAAAATGAACATGGCGGCAGCGATATGTCCCATAGTTTTCGCTGGATACACGGTGTTTTTTTAAAGCGATTGATCAATACTATTTACGACGGGGGTGATCCTTTATCTGGTATATTCCAGGAATTAGATTGGGTAGATAGTACTCTACTGATGGATGATATATCGATCTGTCTGTACACTTCATCCGGAACGAGATAGAGCAATCTAAGTCACTACTCCCCACAGATTTGCAGAATGTCAATGTTCGACCGACATAATATTGAAAAATTTTCTTCTTAAACTTAAATATATATAATAAATTGAATAAATATATTAAAAAGCATAAGGAAGAATTTATTTAATATGTATCAAAACTGCATATTTACATATCTAAGTACTACTTAGTAAATAATTGTATACATTTAAAACCATCTCTTTGTTATCATCTGCATCATCTTGATGATCATTTCTCAAATATCGATGAGCGGCTTAACTATTTTAATAAATAAATTCTATATTTATATATAAGTTTTCTCAAGATTTAAGCTATTATTTTTAACTAGTCAATAATAATAATAATAATATATGAAGGAATAAAATAAAACATTCATTTAAAAAATAATTATATATTCATTAAGCGCTATTGAATGCAAATTTTTCAGGATTGTTAAATAAATTATTGAACAATAAATATTAAAATAAATTATATTTANAAATAAATGAATAAATAGAAAATATTTATATATAAATCGATTTTTATAGAAAAAAATAAAATAATAAAAATTTATAAGTAGTGATAAATTTAAATATACTAAGAATAATTATCAGAGAATGTAATTGTTTTGCTTGAATTCCCTGAGAAATATAAGTAAAATAAGAAATATTTTAAGCCCACTTTTTCATTCTAAGAAATTACATTTTCTATAAAGTAATACTTTTTGTTCATTATTTATTTATTTATTTTTCTTTGTATTTTTAATGAATTTTTGTTCTGGATGTTTCTTCTATTATTCTTCATCAAAGTCTATGCTCGAAGATTTCCCTAATCCTATCAACCTTTTGATCTTTTGTATCACTGTTAATTTAACTTCGCTGCTTGCACAACTACTGCTCTCTTCGTCAACATTCTCGTCTGATCCATAGCTTTCGAGTTTCTCAAGAGAAGTTGATACCTTTTGTAATTTTCTTTGTTTTCTTCTGGCTCTTCTCGCTTCTTTCTCATACAATTCTGTCACTTTTTCGAGCGCTGGAATTGTTATATATATACGCAAATTAGACAAGGTGTGTAAATGATACCTTAATACTACGCTAAAGATTAAAATTTTAATTAATTATTTACCCGTTCTTAAATTTGTATTATCTACTTGAACTTTATTTAACATGCTCCTAAATCTTCTCGTAATTAATCTTCTCTTATAATCTGCTTCAATTTCTTGCTTTGTTCTTGGTATTCGACACTTCATGACGCAGCAAGCGAGGACGGCTACGAAGAAAAAATATATAATAATTTTTTTAATAATTAAATTTTTACGTGAAATAATTTATAAGTTGCTAAAGTTTCTAAAATATAATTTTTCTTCGAAAATTTTTTTATAATTTCGGAAAGGAAAAGTGGAAAAAATTACTTACAAAGAGTGATGGCGCATGCTAGAGTCATAAATAATAAATGCCATACTTTGAATTCATCTATGACTTCTATTTCTAACCAATCTTGTGGAGTGGGAGCTGGAACTGGTGATGGACATTCCTTCAAAATAGAAAAAAAAAATTCAGTATTCTCAATGATTAAAAATTAACTTAAGAATTTAATAGTGTCCTACTCCAAGAGAATCACCTTTAACCTCTCACAATTTCTCACGCCGGTGTTATTTATATACATATATTAATCTTAGCACTTAAGATAGATAAAATAAACAAGGAAACTTTTAAATTACCACACCCATTAAGAAAGGTCAGCGACTTATTTCAAGAGATTGATCATTGACAAAAGTATCTCTCTATGTCTTATCTGTGGCATTGCCACAATTAAAGTTGTTCAAGAACTATGTTCCATCTTTTTTCTTCGATCCCAAAACTTTATATATAAAGTTAGAACAATTGTACGATGTTTTTAATGGTTTATTAAACTTCAGAACCCAAGTGGAACTATCTAGAAACCAGATCAATGGCAACTTATAATTACGAATCCTATACACCAATCGGCTTATAATTGAATATAAAACTTATATTTTTATATATTAAAATGAAATTTTATGATATTTATTATCAAAAATGTATATAAATAGTATACGAACTTTTAATTTACTTTTTTATAGGAAAAAATTGTATTTTTGATCAAATCGATCAAAATTAAAAGGGTAGATTATTTATGATAACTGAAATCGAATATTTTGACTAAAAACTTTTGATTTCTTACAAAATTACTGACTTTTTTATATTTTAAACAATTTTTTAAATATATTTTTAAACACATTTTGTCTACTGATCTTATTGCATAAGCTACAATTCGTTTAATTTTTATCAAAATTAAATACGTACTCGCCAAATATTTTTTAAATAAAAAACACTTTTATAATCGCATTTTAATCATTTGCTAAAGTAAAATATTCATCTTTTAAGTAATTGAATATTTTATGAGAGAGAAAATCGATGAGAGAATATTGCCTGTACCGCATTTCTTAGAATTTCGATATTACTAGTGAAATTGGTAATCATTAGCAATCCTTGTAATATGAATTCTTATGAAAACATCTTCAGTAAATTAAATGCTCCAATAAGATATTTAGACATCAATATTATAATTTTTGAATTAATATTTAAATTAAAATATCTTCGTGCAATCGATGAATATATTAAGTCTAATTATAGAATTATTTTTCTTTCTTTTCTCATTTGAGAGAATTTAATTAGGCCTTTTTATATTAATTTTCTTAAATAATATTGAAAGATATTTCCTAAATAAATCAATTTTTCCAACTTGGACACAACCTGATTTCGGATTCCTCACCACGGATGTTCTTTATATAAGGTTGCGGTTATTATATTCCAATTCTAATCTCACTGGCTTATTTATTTATTTATATTTTATTGTATTTAATACTACTGCCACCATTTCTCTTCAACATTCTTCTCTTGTTCTCTATTCACTTACACTTTTCAAAGCAGTTTTCTTATTTGTATCGCAAAATCTTCAAGTCGTTTTTGGATTTTTATATTGATACATACTATAACATGATATATCAAACAATTTTTGATTGTTAAATTCATTTTTTATTATAAGGTTTGCAACTTCGTCTCTCGTGCATCCTGTTATAGTTATCTCGCTCTTCAGCATCTTATTGTGGATAACTTTCTGTTCAGCATCTCCTTACAGATAACTTACTCTTATGCAGTATATTTTATGTAAAAATTGATAGAATTGCATATTATCTAGAGAATTTTATGCATCATTTGTTTGATTATATGTAGATTAGAGTTAAATCATCCCTAAGTTTATAAATTTTAAATTAAAAAAATATATCACATACAAATATCTTTGTTCTCATGTTTAAAATAATACAAAAATATTTATGTTTAGAAAGAAAATTATAATTTAAAATGCGGCACGATTGTATATGCTTTTAATTATTCTTTTTTAAAATTTTAATACTGTTATTCTAATTGTATCGACAGTTTATATGTTACATAAGGATGTGGATCAAATCCTCATGTAACAGCAACTTTACAATCTGGTCCTTGATTTAATTGGATAATCATGAGGCATATCTGCTAGTATTTTTACTTTAAATGTTGTTTATTTATCTGAAGAAATTAAGATTATGATAAAAATGGGTACAGAACTCACGTCTTTCCGCAGCATTCCGAAAACATCTGGTGAAGCATTTATCTCATTGGACTTTTATCTATTCTGGAAGCCGCTTACACGCTAGAAACATCATAATTTAGAAGTTTCGAAACGAACCCACGTTCTCAGATAGCATTAGTATGCTGTCAAAGGTGTGGATTCACTTCTGTTCCAAGATTAAATACATTTCTTTGTGTGTGGATCTTTATTCTTTAGTTTTTGTCCGTTATATAAATGAATTCATTCTATAAAATTGAATAAGCGCTTTACTTTATTCATATTAAAATTTTGTTACTGGACACTAAATTTTATTAGATATTTAAAAGTATACAACTAAGATTGAATAAGTAAAGTTCAATTTCCTCTAATTTTTTTACGAAAGGAAAGAAGTAATCACCCATTAATTATATTCATGATTTTTGAAATTGTTTCGAAATTGAAAAGTTAACTAATTTAATTGAATTTTTGAAATTTTAATGCTAATTTTATCACCAAAATGAAAAATATTTTATATAAAAATGTAAAAGTGTATGAGGATGACCCAAAAATCAGTTAACTGTTTTTATGTTTAAAATATTCCTGTGAATACGAAACAAACTGAATTCTGAATAAAGTATGCTTTTAATATAAAACTAACGAAAACCTCTTTGTTAGTAAAGCAGAAATTTAGCCTTTATACTTGTTTTCGGCTCACCCTGATATCTCGAATTTCCAATCGAACCTGTTCAAAAATTGACTATAAAACCTTTCAACTTTCGAGTTCATATTTAACTAAACAGTATAATTACTTAATTATTATAATATTAGTCTCTATTATATTTATATTAACTATTAGAAAAATAGCACCGACATCTTTTCATATACAATTTTAAGTTACTTTATTTATGAGAGCAAAAATATTTTGATTTTGTTTAATATCTTAAACACAATGTTATAAATTCAAGCAATTTAAAAAAAAAAATTTAAATAATTTCTAATACAAAATAATTTTTAGAACTATTCTAATTATATTTTTAATTTTAATTAACCGTTTTATAACCAATTTTTTAATATAATAAATCAATACATCGTCTAAATTATCTAAAAAAAGTTATAAATTTTTTATGCATTAAACTTTCCAAATACATTTCATTAAAAAAATGTTTTATTTTATTTTTTATGTTAAAAATATTGATAGATTTTTAAAAAAAATAAAATAAAATTATTTTCAAATTCAATACATTATCTGTAAAATGAACAGAAAACGTTCAGCTTCCCTGTAAAACAAGCTGTTTTGGCAGTGAAGCGAACGTAAGGGGTAAAACTAAATCCTTGGCTTTTATGAAATTTCAGTTTTAAATTTCGCTTATTTATAAGTGTTGTATGCTTTCAAAAAGTATTTTTAGGTATTATTTTCACATTACTGTACTAATCGAAAATGAGTTGTGGAGAGAATTTTAAATCGAATTTATTAACTTTATTGATTTAATATATGATGCTTTACAGTTCTCATTTTGATAGATATATCAGTGTCAATTTATAATACTGTATATACTTTTAAAAAAAGTTTGTATAGTTTACTTTATTTATAATTAATGCTGTGAAATATTATGCAAAATTTTAAACATGTTTTTTTTCAATTATCATCAATAATAAAAGTTAAAAAAAATATGAAGTATGGATTTTACTTCTATAAAACTTCAATAAATTCATAAATAACGTTACGTAAAGTAAATCCAGATAAATGTGCAAAATTTACAAAACAAATTAATTTTGCAAATATAAAAATATATTTTTAAAATGCATTTTAGTTTAATCTCTTAAATCAATGATTCACAAAGTGATTCCTACAGACGCCTGGGGGTCCGTGGAACCGCTGATGGAGTCCGTGGCAAATTAAAATTAATTTTGGGGTACGTGAACAACGTCAGGGGGGTCCGCGAAAGGTTTAATAAAAAGTAAAATGATTGTGACCTATTTTCATTATTATGAAAGTTAAAAATAAATAGTAATAAATAAATTGGTAGTCATTTTTATCTCTTTAGTAAAATATAAATATAAATAAGTACATAAAATATAAGTAATGACCAGCATTGCACGGTGGAAATACCAGCTAAAGCTTGCCCATTTTGAAAATGGGCTTTGTGCTTCATTTATTGGCATTTTAGAATTTATTTTGTTTTTTTATAGAATTTTTATACATTTATTTAATTTTTCTTTCCAAAACAGTGATAATTATTGGTTGTTTTTCATAATTATAAAAACTATGTAATGACTAAAACTATATATAAATAATTCATTTATTTTAATCAAAAATATGTTACTATCAAAAGCGCTCAGCAATTAAATAAAGAGAAACAAAACACCTTTTTTTGTCGAGAAATAAATATAATTGTAGAAATTATTAAGAAGTATGAAAGGGGCATAGTAAAAAGAACCTTAAGCAATGTTCCTATTAGGCTTATACTTTACTTATAATAGTGGTATGAATAGTGTTATGAAAGAAATTGCTAGTCGAAAGGAATCAAGAATGGTTTTAAGAAGAGCCCCCTAATTTGTGTAAGATCTTGAGAAATGATAAGGATAGTATCAAAGCGGAGGAGAAAGCAGGGGTGTATAAGATACCTTATGAGAACTTACAACTGGATGTTAAAAAAGATTATATCGGCGTCACCACAAGAAACTTGGGAGTAAGGCTCAAAGAACATAGATATGCCATAAGAAAAACGTCTAATTCAACGATTTTGTCCCAAATGGCACAAGCCCAAGGCTCTGAGATAAAATGGGACGAGGCAACAACCATCAAACCTCTGTCTTCCTCAACTTTAGGAATGAAGATTGAAATATACAGAAGTAGGATAGGAGAAGGCTGTTTAAATGCGAGGGATGCCGAGAACCTGCCTTCGGCATGGAAGTACTTGGTT